ACATATAGGCCAAAATCTGAGACTCTGGAGGCACAGAGTCACACTCATGCTGCAGTAGATGCCAGATGCAGCAGGCTTGCGTGAGACCGGTGTCTTATTAAGTGAAACTAATCAGGCAAAATTCTGTGTGGGGTAAAGTCTGATTATACACTGACCTAAAATATAAGCTGACCTTCAAAGGTTAACCAAAACGACTAAATTTGAACCTCACACTGAGCAAGTTAGTTTTGACACCTTCTTCTCAAATAAATGAGAGACCAGAAACTTGGTATGACTGTCCATTGCCAAGGATGATCATAAGCATTGGGAACACCCCAGCCTCTCTCTTTCCCTCTCTGCAGAGCTACAAAGCTGCAGCAGAATAAAATGCAGAGTCAGAGACAGGCCCTTTCAGGATGAATAATGCAGATACGAGTGAGACTGCAGCTTTGTGTCACGACAAGGTTCAAAACTTAAAGGAGTAATTTGGTGTTCTGCCGGTGGCATGCGTGGATCTGATTCAGACATCACCCGACTTCACCTTTTTTACCAGAATCCACCTCAGCTTCAGTTTAATCCTCCCTCTCTCAGCGCCAGACTAATCTTACAAGTAATCTTAAGTCATCGATTGCCTCATTCGCTCCCTCTCTACTACAATTCACAATATCAAATCTTAAGGAGTGAATGTGACATTTAAAGGGCAGCACATCACCAACACAAGTCCACCACTTAAAACCGTTGAATATGAATGTCAGATGTAGAAATTAAGAAAAATTACAGAGTTCACAATCAAAAGCATCCAGCCACGTTAGGGTAGACTTGTTGCAGAAGATTCTGGGCATGCATCTGCACTATTATTTGCTGTAGCACATATCATCTTCCCGAGGAAGCCCAAGAACTGTGTGTTTTTCTAAACACTTTGGATTATTTATAGCCTGTTTGCACATACAACACACTGTAGTACATATAAAATAGGCTTATGAATTCACATGGATGGAAAGGCTGACGTGTACACTCATGAATGCAGAATGGAAACTAATCTCCAGTACAGGTTTCTGAGCATGGCCCGTGTGATGGATTTTGTACGATGTTAAATGTCAAGTAGGAAACATGTCTTCAGATTACCAGGGCAACGTACACAGTAATGTTGAATGAAATGCATATGTGTGCATGTGCAACATCAGAAGATGCAACACGATGAGAAAAAGAAACAGAAAGACATCCAGCTACATCCCATATTTGTTATCAACTTAAGGACACATGTCAATATGAAGAGGAGATTGGGGATATAAAAGGGGATTTCACAAATGACGGTAGAGTCATGCTGACTCAGTGTCTGTCACAGAAACAAAACAAAAGACGCGGAAAGCGGCCAAGTCCCAGACATGGGAATATTATGTGTCCTGACAGCTATCAGCATGCTGGACTTATTGAAGCATGAATACTAGCGGCAAGCAGCCCAGACAATGAATCATTAGTGTGTGTGAAGTCATTATGAACATGATGTAAACACCCAGCCTCCCTGAAGTTACAGTACATAACACAACCTCAGCAGGTAATGGTGCTCTGATGGAGTTGGTGGTACTGCAGTACCTCCTCACAGGATGAGAAGGAAGCCCGCCTTTGCTCGCATGCAGCCTTTGCTGGGCTGCAGCTGAGACTAACTTGTGAACACACCACTCACCGTCTCCGGGTCGTTTTCAAACACTTCTCTGGCCTCCTCCTTGCTGCACTTTTCCTCCACGCACTCCCTCTCCAAGTGTCCTTGCTTCGTCTCCTCGAAGACTTGATTCGCCCTCCTGTGTCTGCTCAGAAACTGGTTCGCCTCTTGAGGGGACAGTGAGACTAAAGAAAGAAGGACAAAAGAGAGCAAAACGAGCAAAGTTTAGTCACCTTTAAAAAAAAAGAGCAAGTGAATGTCAAACAACTCTGCGGTTAAGCAATACACTGGCGCAGGAAAACAATGTGAGGGATGTTGCGAAATATCTAACGTTAACCGTCAGTACTGGCAATAACCAAGACGTGTATCATCACTAGCTGCAACTCAAATGTCAAAGAGGGTTTAGCGGGCTAGCTAGCCGCCTAGCATGTAACTGTTTACTTACTGCTGTCGGACCAGCGGACGAGCAGCAGGATTAGCAGCGCTGCCGACGGAAAGGATTTTGTCGGGGTCAGCCGCATTGTTTGACTGCTGTGTTTGCGCCAAGCTCGAGAAACTTTCTCCTGCCCCGTCCCACCCCCTCCTCAGCCTCTCTCGGTGTAAGCGCAGGCGTCGGTGCGAAACGCCGCAGGTATTCAGGTGACTTGCTCCGACCGTTGGCCGTTAACGTCTACGGTAGGACACGAACGTCGCGCGCGCTTGTGTGTGAGTCTGTGTCCCCCTCCTCCTCCAGGACGCTCACTACTACTACACGGGGAAACTGCACGACCGACCTCTTCTACCCCCCTCGCGTGCGGTTCAGCTGGTCCCCATCGCGATGTGTGGGGACTTTTACTTAGCCGTTTGCGGACCGGACAGTCTGCGGAGGAACACTGCTCGTCTCTGCTTCAGGAGGAGGAGTAGCTCTCTGAGAAGTGCAGGCAGGAGTTTGAAGTGATGCAGACACCTCTTCATCCCTCCCTCCCTCCTCTGTGTGTTCGCGTGTGTGCATGTGCGCGCGCATCACACTGGGGAAAAAAATCTGTTTAACTGGCACGCAATCCGTGATTTGGGTGTTGCACTTGTGGTTAGTAAGTAAATACTTGTATTAAAGTAAACAATACTCGAATACTTTGCAATGCCTTCAAAAGTATTTTAAACGTTAGTCCAGGGGCATAACCAAAGGGGGGCATGAGGTGGCACAGACTACGCTAATTGTTATCCCCCCCCCCCTTTGATTTTTTTAAAAAAATTCTGTTTAATCTCCAAAGTGAAATTTTTTTTATTTCAGCTTAATTATTATTGTTTGGAAATGTTTAGTTTTATTTTATAATTTTAATTAGTTCTTCTGTTACTTTTAAAAAATTAAAAAGTAAATCAGTGCCATTGTTACAATAAAAACATAGAACTTCTTGAAAGCAGTTTACTTAGTGTTTTAGACAACCAAAGTTTCAATAAACATTTCCTCAGTGTCTTGTCAGGCAAGTTATAATAAAATTGAGAAAAAACAAATATTAAAACAAATCATACTTCTTTTATATTTATATTTCAAGTCTAGTTTTCATTTTAATTTTAATTTTTTTCCACATTTTATTTTAGTTTTTAGTTTAGTTTTAGTTAATGATAGAACTTTGAAGAGCTGTGAAAACGTATTTTCCCCTTCCTGATTTCTTTTTCTTTCTTTTTTGCATATGTGTCATATTTGCCTGTTAAATCATCATGAATTAACGATGAATAACCACATTTTCTGAAAAGCTGAGTTCACTTTCACCAGCCAAGCCTATTTGCTTATTGAAAAAACTGAACTTTTTGGAACAAAATAAAGTCTTGAACAAGCAATCCATGCTGGAAACCCCTCCAGTGTGGTTGAATTAAAACAATTCAGCAAACAAGAGTGGGCCAAAATTTCTCCACAGCGATGTAAAATACTCGTTGCCAGTTATTGCAAATGTTTGACTATGTCACAGTCACATGTCAGAAGCAGAAATGACGTCACTCCTAAGTTGAGCGTGTTCTATTACTAAAGTCAGAAAAGCAAGAAAAAAGAGGATTTGCTTTTCTTCTTAGCAAGGTAGACCTATTTGTGCATCACAAGCAGTACACCACAATGCTTGGATTTGAAAACACAACTGCAGCACATTCATGAACAGAGCCTGGTCAGCAGACTGCATATGCCTTATTTAGTGAGTCACAAATACAATGGAAAAAAACAATGGCAATACAAATTTCAAGTTTTACATTTTAATGTTTATGCGCATTGCCATAATCTTGGATTGTGAATTCAAGGTTGGTGGGGGTGCTCCGACTTTCCAAACTGGAAATCCATCTTGAAGGGTCATTCCAATTGGAAATTGGAAATTCTGACTTCTAACTTTAACTGGAACTGTTAGTCTTAGAGTGCCCAATTTAATTCTCAGTAATATTTATTTTCAAAGCTTTTGTTACTTTAATTATTATTATTATTATTATCATTATAAACTGTATTATTATAGATAATGTGTGTGAAATACTGATTAGTTAAGCTAGGAAGTAGTGGAGTAGCTATAAAGGAACAAAAATGCAAATAAAATACATATATCCCCCAAGTATAGTCCTTAATTTGAACAGCTTTGCAGATTTTACAGTAGAAAAATAACTTATAGCTCAGCATTGGTCATAACATTTACTTATAAAATATGTTCTTTGTTATAGATTTAACTACTAAACAGCATTTAAAGTAGTGAAATGACATTAAGTGCTTAAATACCAATTTATGGTACACATAATGATACAGCTACACAAGGAGCCATTCAGCTGCATGGATAATGTGTGTTTAGTCTTCTGTTGAATATACAGGGCTTGCATACTTGTTTACAGTATTCAAAGTTCAACAGTTTCTTGTAACTGAGTATTTTTCAGTAGTCTTATGCCCACTTTTACTTTCATTTTCAGGGAAGTTTATTTTTATCCAGGCCTTTGCAAAGTAACAGTCTTTTGTTTCGTTTACTCTGGAAGTTGTGCAACATGTTTTTCAGTAATTTCTTTAGATTTCAGTCCACATTTGACCTGTTTTGCCTTATCTGCACGACGGTGGGCTTTGCAGAAAATTAAAAAGCACATCACTTGATGTGAAAACACCTCCAAACTGTGTTTTGTAAATGGCAGATTTATGAGTTTGTTGTGTCACCAAGTACTTGGACAGATGCAGTGCTGGGAAGTATGAGTTTAAGGTTTTTCTGCTGAACATGAGAAAACTCACCAAGTAAGACACTGATATAATCATGACACATTTTGAATCATGAAACTAAATTTTGAATCTGTTCCCAGTCTCTGACCTTGTTTTGTGCAGTGGCGAGAGACCAAAACAAAGCAGGGCTGGAATCCAATAATAAGGTTGCTTTGATACAGTTTTATTAAAACAAACATCAAACACAACAGCAAACAACTACATGTAAGTTATATATTAAAGATGGCATGTTTTATATACAAAGTGGAAACAAATGACAACCAGGAGAACCCTTAAGATGAGGAAATAAACAGGAGAACAATAAATGCTGTAATTATGACAGGTGTACACCTCTGATGACAACAGTGGTAAATTGAAGCAGGGCTTCGGAAATGCTCCAGATGGTGATTTAAACAAAGGAGATGAAACAGAATTTGATAGGAACACCTGAAGGCTCAGATATCTCCTCTGTGGTTTCTCCTGCCACAAACATTAATTTCAACTACTTGTTTTTAAACAATTTAGAGAGAGTACCATGTTTCAGCAGCAGCAGGGACAAAGATGCAGGTGGTCTCACAGCCTGGTCAGCAGTGACCATTTGTTTATTTTTCTACACAAACATAACCATCTGTTGCTCAACTCATGGCATGCACGCTGCAGAGCTCAGCTCCTTTTTGTTTCCACTTTCCTGGAAAACAACTTAATGCAGACAAAAACTGCTACACCTATGTCATCCAGCTTCCAGCTACCACCCTGGTAAGCCAGCCTTTGTTGTGACTCACTAAAGCAATACCAGAACAAAATAGGTCAGGGTACAAACAAGAACACTGTAGGGATGAAAAGCTTAAAATCACTCTCTGCCTCCGTCTCTTCTTCTCCCCCTCTCTAGATTCTCTTTCCAAAATATCCCAAGAAGTTTCCCCTGTGGGACTGCCTAATTTTAGGGCTTTTTAATGCAATGTGGTTTTTTAAATTGGGTCACTTTCTGTACATGTGTGCCACCTCCAGGTCATCATCCACGGTAGTGATAGGAGGACACGAGTGGGACTTGATGCTGTTATGTTTGCTGAGAGCTTCGTCGAAGTCCAGCTGCTGGCTGTTGATACTGATCTCCATGCAGCCGTAGTAAAAGGCCGTCACAGGGGTGGTAGGCAAAGGGATGTCTTCTGAAGGAGAGAAACACAGTAACTGTTTGATGGGTTGTTATGACACCAAGTATCGTTGTTCATGTTACTTTCAATATGAATGAGTCCTTGTTTTGGTGCTTTTAATCTAGTGCAGTCATCTAGTTAAAGGTTTTCTGATTCCTTTCATTCTCAGCTCTGCTTAGTGCTAATCATGAAACATGGAAAACAATAAACACCTCCTGCTAAGCTTCAGCATGCCGTCACCATTGTCACTGTGACTATGGCAACATGTGGATATTAGCATTAGCAGCTCAAAGCACCACTGTTCACACAAGGCTCACAGATCCAGCAGGAAAGGCAACACATTCAAGAGGATAACCCGCATGAAAATCTCAAAACCCTTTATTCATTTTGATCACACATCAAATGCTTATGCTTAAATTCCTTCATAATTACTAACCAGGTATTCCACCAATGTATGTGCTGACAGGGTTTTGCATGGTGCTGTTGAGGAGTTCCAGCTCCTTCTGCAGGGCACTGGACTCCATGTAAGTCACACTGGAGGAGTCAGCTGAGATCAGGATTTCTGTGGGAGTCACGTTCAGCTGCACCATCAGCCGATCAGGGTAACACAGCATCACAGTGTCCAACGTGGCCACCGAGGCATCGTGCAGGAACACCTGCAAGTTCTGGAGAGCACATTGGTTTAAGGATGATAGACAGGTGCTTATTTTCAGCCAAAATGTGACCAAACTTACAGCAGCATCTTTTCCCTTTGGTAGAACAGCCACTGACAGGGGGACTGTGTTGTTGTAGACAACAGCAAAGAGGACACCTGTGCTGGTGGATGGACGAATGTTCATCTTTATATCCATTTTCCAGCTTCCAGAATCACCTGGTTACACACATGCATGCCAAGAAACATTTATTCCTTTTGTCAGGTTAAAAATTTAGGATTCTTTACAAACTTTTAACAAAACAACTTCCCACAGGTCTGTTATATCATTCTCAAAATTACATGGTTGTAAACTCATAGAGGGTTCTGTTATAATGTGGAACACAGACACGACCAGCAGACAGACATGTCGGCAATGCAGCAACTTTGGCCTTTGACCATCAGTCATTCAGTCATGGATCTAAATATCCAACAGCTGTTAGTTATAATGTCCCCAGTAATTTGTTTCCAGCATCATCTCACAGATCAAAAGTCAGAGAGGTTTTAATGAACATGACTGTGAATTCAGTGTACTGCAGTGACCTCTGCAGTCACCTGATCTAACCAGGAAACCTCTGGGATATGGCAGAACAGAAGATTGGCAGCATTAACGTGCAGCTGAACAATCTGCAAAAATGATGTGTGATGAAATCAACATGGAGCAGTGTCTCAAATGAGTGCAACAGCTTGTGGGATCCATAACACCATCAAATGAAGCTGTTTTGAGAAGAAGGCCTTATCCAGTGTTAGTATGGCTTTCTAATGACGTGCTGGGTAAAAGTCTAAGATCTGGCCAATGTATATGGCCGTCACATGATTTTCACAAGCAGATCATTCAGTTCCGGAGCCCCTTGTTCCTTCTATATGTAGCAATGGGAGTTTCTGTATCAAATAAGCTTTTTTATAGTTCTGTATTGTCATGATCCAGCTCAAGATTAATCACGAAAAATGGTAGAGACACAACTTGAAGAAAAAATTAAGAAGGATCTACTTTCAGTCGCTCCTTTCTTCACAAGAAGTATCTCCACATGTTTGATTTGGCAGATATTCACACCAGATGTTGGGAAGGACCAACCTTAAAGGGATTTGTCTCTCCTCTCAGGATTTACCGAATTGTTACCGAAATTAAGCAAAGACCATAATTAACTTAACGAGGCATGCTAATCAGTGTGTCAGCAGGTGTGTCGTGTTGTGTAGGGTAAACCTAAAGTAACCAGGCAGAAGTCAACCAAACAACATCAAGATAATAATAACAATAATTGTTATGATTCAGGGCCATGCATCAGGATTCATGAACTGTGTCTCATGTTATGTCCAGGTTACCTGTAGGCTGGGGACGTAACATGATAATGCAATGAACAGGTGACCTATCCAGGGTGGCCACACACTGGCATATGCTGGTAACGCAGCAAAAAAGGTTTGCTAGTCAAGCTCTTGGATATGGGAGGTCTGGGAGGTGCAGTACACCAGAGCAAGCAACGACATCGAAAAAATAGTTCCTTGTAATGCTACGTTATTTCGAGAACAGAAAGAGTAACCTCAGGTGCATTTTACCTCACCGACATTGGTGCTCTCTGAGACACACAACAGACACACAGCATACTTTATGTTACTGTTGTGGGTATCACTGGGATGTACAGTATGTCTCTTTAGAATTCCTGCTGCTGATAGATGCAAATGAAAAAACTTCTAAAGGTATCTGGAAAAAGTCTGTTAGTCCAAAAGCCTGTTTTTTATTTTTTGTCTATTTCTTTAGGAACAGTTGGATGGATAAGGGTGGCTTTGGTGCTCGGGGTTTCCATGTGCACCTGGGGACAGTTTACTTTATCAAGCTGGTGTATCTAAGGAGTAGCATGGCAACTGTTTCCTGCCTGATCATTGTTTTAGCCTCTTTGGTAAAAAGCCCATTACGACAATGTTCTGATTAATATTTTGACATTATTAGTGATCTTCATCACTGCAGAGTCTCGTCTCTCAAGACTGCATAACTGTTTATGCACCAGGAGAACAGTGCCAGCCAGCATTCCTCTCTCCGGACCAACACGTCAATGTTCCACCTGTCTGCAGGATTACTTACCCGGATTATTGCTTACCAGCTGCCTACCCCTTTCCTCCTCGTCTCATCTGCCTCTCCTAAATTCCCAGCTGCCTACCTGCTGTACATCGCCCGCTTCTTCAGTAAAAAGTGTGATGAGTAAGCTCTCATTAACAGTACACAATGTTCACCCTTCACCAGCCTCTAACTGATGTTTTCCCTTTTCCATCAGATTCCTCAAACTGATCACATCCCTTTGAATCCGCTTTTAGCAGAAGATAACAGTATGCGGTTGTCAAGGGAGCCCCCCAGTGGACTGTTATCTTTAGACTTCTCCAGAGGGTTGATTTTAACAGACCACTCCAATCACATGAAAAAGATCTTATCGTAAGATGATAGTAAGGGCTAAAACATAAAACCTATGAAACTTCATAAAACCTATGAAGCGCCTTGAGGCCACTTTTGTTGTGATTTGGCGCTATATAAATAAAATTGAATTGAATTGAATTAAAAACTTTATAGTGAGTTGAGGTCATCCTTGCCTTTGATGAGAAAAGTGGACCCAAAACATGCCAGCAAAATGTCTCTCACGGCTCATAAAAGATCACAGGTCTTCCTTTAATGCATCATATGATAAGTTTAGATCTATATCAGCTGTATCAGCAGGTCTTTGCACAAACCTAACAGGACTAGCTGTGTGGTATTTTACACTCACTATGTTCCTGTGTTAATTCAGAGATCTCAACCCACTGCATTAACTCCCCTCTTAAAGACTTTAAACCAGGGAACTGCACAAAAACTAAATTTAAGAGCTGCTGCTGTAATGCCTTTAAGCTGTTGGTGTAGACCAAATGCAGACGCCAAATGTTCCCTGAGGGATTAATAAAATGTAACATAACTTACTCACTGTAGTCTATGTTGAAGTGTGCTAGTCCCTCCCCGGTGAAGAAAGATCCTCGTTCTACATGCACGAAACAGTGTTTACTTGTCTTCTGCTGGATGACCTCCTTTACCCCAGACGCCCCCTGATTCATCAAGTTCCAACCCCGGATGCAGCCATCCAGCCTGGGGTTGATCTGATAAACAAACAGTGCAGTAGCGTGAACTTCTGCTCTTTAACACAATGTCTCAGCCAACAAATTTAAATTCACACAGGTTTAGTTAACACTAAAATCCCCTCCCTGCTGTATCTTGTCTCCTGGGAAGGTTAGTTATGTGTGAATGCCTTGGAATGAACAGCTTACAGGCTTGATGACATTGTCGGTGCGGTTAGGCAGGCCAGCGATGTAAACTTTGGTCTCCAGCTTGCCATTGACTGATGTGAAGAGACTCTCGGGGCTGTTAATGCTCATCACAGCTTCCCTGCTGATCTTCACACTGATGCTGCTCTCCAGCTCATCCACAGAGATCTGTGTGTCACACGTAACACTAAATCATAATACAGCACGTCACTGTTATCATGTACTTTGCACACTACATGTTACCACAGCGTAATAGACTTCTCATCATTTTAGTTCGTCAATTTAGTCTTAAGGATTTATGTTCACTATATGATAACAAAGTGACAGACTTTCTCACCACATGCCATTGTCCATCATTGATTGTTTTTCCTCCGCTGGTAACCTTAGATGTGTGCTGGTTTTTGAACTGGACTTCAATGCGACCGCCCCTGAGTCCCACCATGAACCACGAGCCTTCAGAAGACTCAGCATAGAGAACAACTCCCTCAGGGTCAAAAGTACGCAAGTCAAACTCGGCTGCAAACCTACCAGGAGGAAGACAGGTAAATTTACACAGTAACTAGAATACGGCCCTTCTCATTAACCTGCAGGTAGTGATGAATAACATGTAAGACCCTAGCTGTGCCTTGTTACTTGTTACCACTGCAAAAAAAAGTAAGGGCAGCATTGTGCACAATTTCCAGAATTACCTGTCTCTTTGAATTATGGCCATGTACCATGACCCCCTCCCCACAAAAAAAACATACCACCTAAATTTCACAAATGTTCTTTTCCAAGTTGTCTTCTTGAGCAGCACTGTATTGTTTTAACCACTTTTAGATCCCTCCACTAAAGTCCAGGTAGGACCGCAAACCTTGTGCATCTGCAGTGCACAATGGATCTCAACAAAGTAGCAACCCTGTAACTTGATTTTCAGATGGTGTGCAGGGCTCGCAAAATTTCAAAATGCCTGGTAGCCCTTCGGGCAGGAACTCTTCAGTTTTTGGTAGCCCAAAATAAATTTAAGTAGCCCGAATAAAAAAAAAAGAGATTATTTTTAATGTATAATATTGTAAAGGAAACAAAACATCAATCAAAAAAATTGTTAAAACAAATTACAATTACTGTATAATAATTACAATAATCAACTAAAATATTTTGTTCTAATTGAACAGAACTTTCTGTGAACTTGTAAGAACTGTGTAGAACATGAATCAGTCTGTGTCAGATTCTGAATCTGAAAGAGAGGAGATCTCTGCACAAGCAATCTACCTTGCTACCCCGGTGTTCTGCAAGCCACATTTTTAGATCCATCCATTCTTGTAGAATTTTCTCTTTCTCTTCCTCATCTAGCAAAAAGGCAAAATGTGTGACAAGATAATACACCTCTTCATCCCCATAATTTGCCAGCTCTTCTCTGGGGTAGGGAAGAGTGGAAGGGTCAAAAACCTTGAAACAAGAGAGAGGCTTTTGTCCATGTACTTGACTGTTTTGCCAATAATCTTCTGAATCGCTGCACCAAAGCTGTCTCTGCAATTAAACGTCACTCACCAATCAGTACTACCGCTCTTTATACAGTTTGTGCGATCGCACTGAGTTCGTAACTGAGTTACAAGATTCTAAAAGTAATTCATTACTTGAAAAGTAACTATTGCGTTACTTAAAAAAAAAATGTTTATCCCTCTGGGGTCCAGGGTATAACTGGCCATTTTTAAACACTTTTGATTTTACCTCTACATTTCACCTTTGAAAACTATTTACTTGCCTTGTTTGGTATCATCCTTTTCAGCACAACCTCACATGTCTGAATTTACAGTTATGTTTTCATTTTGACATACTGTATTAACACAACTGATCTAAAATCAGACAAAAAACATAAAATCCGAGTAGAAGGAGTTATATTTTTTACTGTAACAACCACAAACATGTTTAATCTTATTTCATAACTTTAAATGCAAATTTAATTTTTGTCAATTTTAAAATCATATGCACCATTTACCTTTTACCCCCTTTTTTAATAACCATTTCAAACTATTTAAATAACAATCAGGTGTTCTGCATTCAATAAGATGCCACACAAATTATTTGTGCCACTCCAAACATTTCTGCCCACTATAAAGGAGAACATCACAGCCTGATACCTGCAGGTCTGACAGCAGGAGGTGTACCACTCCTCCTGTTTTCTACCTGGAGACAGCAGTCGCCTCATTGTTCTGACACACAACACAAAACTATCCACAACACTACACACTAACTACACAAGACAACACATGAACTACACACCCCAAACACGCTAAACGTCACGCTAAATCTCTCACATCTCAAAACTCGCTCTCTCGCTGCTGTCTTTCTCTCTCCCCCTCTCTCTCTCTCGCCGTCACTCCTAAAACTTCCCCCCTTCCTAAACAACCAAATGTCATGTTGCCATATCATATTTGATTGGTCGACATGGTGCATTTTTCCACCAACACAAAAGGGGTGTTTTTTGTTTTGTTTGTTTTTTTGGTCATAAGCAGAGAGTGCTTGCTAGCACTGTCCTTAGACAGTAAACGTGACGAAACTATTTAGGAAAAAACACAGCGTATATATTGCTTATCATGACTCTGGTTTTACGCACAATTTAAAAACTGGTATATATCACCTTGTTGGTTTGTCATCTTAAGTGTCATCTAACCACGACTACTTTATTCTTCCTCAGTCAAACACCAGCACTCATGCGATTGTTTTGCCCCCTAGCTCCAGGTGTTGCGGCAATCACTGCTAGAAAGTGATTGCCCCGCGCGGGAGCGTGCGCAGCTGCTTAAAGCTGTAGCGTCCAGATTACTTATGTAGGCAGCTACCTCCGTGCAACTGATATAAGATGCAGTAAGATGAACACAGCTTCAACCGTCTGTTTGTTGAAAAATAGTAACCGCATTTTCTTGTTAGTAACGCTAACGGCGTTGTAACGACAGAAATAGTAAGTAGTTAGATTACTCATTACTAAAAAAAAGTAACGCTGTTACTTGTAACGCCGTTATTTCCATCACTGGCTATGAGACCCTGTTGATTCAGGGCTGAGACAACAGTGAAAACCTTTAGCATAAAAAGGTAACATCTTTGCACTACATGTATTGTGACTCTTGGTCCTCTACATTAATACGTGTGTGTGTTTCTGTGTGTGTGACAAACACCTACTTTGTGTTCTCCGGCAGGCGGAAGCGCAGGTAGATGACAGGAAGGCCTGCGAACTGCTCTCCCAAGTAAAGCATCTCAGGGTGTTTTTCCTCAAGCAGGTTGAGACACACGGGGATCCTCTTGCAGTTCTGCCTATCCTGTGCCAGATGCAAACCCTGGCGACCATCGCAGTAGCACAAATAGCTGCCCTGAGTGTTTATACAAACCCCCTTGCACACGTTCATCTCACACTCGTTCATGTCTGCAATGACAGGTTGGGAAGACTTTATTAGCAGTGACCCTTGATTCTGCGTCTGGGTGATAAATTTGAAAGCTTACCATCACATGTCCTGGAGGTGAAGTTATATTTATATCCCACAGGACATCTGCAGTCGTAAGTGCCTGGTATGTTGACACATTCAGCTTGCCTTCCACAGATGCTGCGGTATAGCAGGCATTCATTGACATCTGGAAGGTGTGATGGGAAAAGTGACGATGAGCAAACAGAGTGGTTGGAATCTGAACTTCAGAATAAGGAAGTAAAGTGTCATTTTTGCTACCCGGATGAAGTACAATTAATACACATAAAAGACAATCTGATTTCTTTTAATGTTTCAAATGAAAAACACACTTTAATGAATTGCCTTACTGTAGTGCAAGCAGAGATACAGACAGGTGAAAAAGAAGGATTTCGTAGGTCTCTGTGCAGTCGTTTAGTAGAAATAACTTGTATTAATTGTTTTCTGTGTTTATCAGTTTCTCACATTGCTGTGAAGGAATTTGGGCCATCTCTTCTTTACATCATTGCCTCAGTTCATTCAGGTTTGTGAGCTTTTCTCTTAAGGTCCCGCAGCAGCATTTAGTTAGGTTGAAGTCTGCACTTTGACTGGGCCATGGCAGCACCTTGAGTCTTTTTAAAAAAACAACAACATGCTGTTGTTGATTTGCTGCTCTGCTTGGGATCATTTCCCTGTTACATGACCCAATTTGGACCAAACAGTCCCACATTTAACTCCAGATTACTTTGGTACACAGAGGAGTTCAGAGCAGACTTAACGTCTACCAGGTGCCCAAATCATCTCCCCTCCACAACCGTGCTTGACAGATGGTGTGAGGTGTTTGTGCTGATATGCTGTGTTTGGTTTTCTCCAAACATGATAGATAGATAGCATAAAGAATAAAAATAGTATACAGTAAATTCTGGCCAATGATCACTCCAGCCTTGTGAATATTTTTTTTTTATCCTGAAACAGAGTGCTCTCTGCCAATGCAAACTGAACACTCTCTGAGAGATAGTCAGCAATCCAGGAGACAGTGTCAAGGTTTTGTATTTCGATTATTTTGTATTTCAGTTTTTACATTAGTTGATAAGTTTATTAATCACCTTTTAGTTTTCTTATTCTGTCTTTCCAGTCGTGTCTCTGTTTCCTATCTTCTGTCTTTGTGTCAAATGTATATATCTTAGTCCTGGTCTCAGCATTAGTTATTTTCTGTTTTATTTTGATAATGTACATGGGATGAGAGAATATGCTAAATTTTGCTTCTCTTTTCTCATTATCCCTGATCAGCGTCATCTGTGCCACGTTTCCTCATTATCCTCAGTGTGTATATTTTGTCTAAGTCTCAATCCAGTTAGTTAGTTAGCTGTTTTTCTCTGTCAGGTTTCCAGCATTAAATAAGACTCTGATTTTTAGGAGGGGGGGGGGTTCTGTTGAATAATGCACTTTGGATCATGCCTCCCTCATGTGACAGACAGTAGATGATGTGACACTCATCCTAAAAAGTGTCTGACTCAGGAGAGATGGTTAAATGGTATTAAAGAAACTGGAAATATCAAACAACATGATTCTCCCAATGCCAGTGGAAGTGAGCATGCTACAGCAGGTAAATAACAACATCCTCCATATGAGGCTGGTAAACAAACTGAAAAGGCTCAAACGCATATTTCACTTGAGAGCTAAGCCGGGCCAGAACCAGTTCTCCAGCATCTTCATAACATGTGACATCAAGGTACATGGTCTGATGTTGTTAAGCCCTGATGGAGCAGCTTTCATTGGTACTAGTACTACACATGGCGTCTTTCTTCCACGGCACTAGAACCTTTTGAAGAGGTGAAGAGATGCTGCAGGATGCCAGACAGCCAGACAGCACAGTGCATCAGGATCCTGGGATTGATGCCATCGGAGTCTGCTGCAACCTCGCCTTGATGTAGCTGTTCCAGCAGTGGGGTCAGTTTCTCTGAGCGTTGCACGGTCTGAACTTGGGTTGAATTTGGTCACATTGTGCCAAACGTCTGCTTTTACAGAGTTTTCATAAAACTGCACAGAGTCCTTTGAAAACTTCCATTTTCACATAGCTGTATGCGCACAAAAGCTGCTTTCACAGACGTACTGGTTACTTTAGGAGGTTAACAATACACTTCCACATGCACACTTCCATTACATACTTATTTATTCTATATTTGCTACAACGACTATTGAGTATTAATGCAAATTAAAGACAGTCTGAAAATCTCAGCATGGTTTCTCAGAAAGGGTAGACAGTGACCCCTGTGACACTATTTTACAGGAATATAAACATTTTCTAAACAAAAACGTAGACTGTGCTCAAGTATGGGAAATCTTATCACAGTGGTGATAAGATTTCTCTCTGGGGAGCTCAAAGATTCTTTTGGCATCTCCAGAAAAATGGAATCCAAAAATTATCAAAAATGTAATGCATATAAGTAAATAATTTCTAGTTATCGTAACTGGCAGATTGATTTTAATAAAATATCTTGAATCCCTAAATAATAGGTTATAATAACTGATTTCTACTGACAGGCTGTGTTATCTAACAGTCCATCAAAAAATAAATAAATAAAGAGGGCAAATTTATCAGTCTGACTCAGTACATGTTTGTGAAGACTTTGAACTCAACATGCAGTGGTCAGCCTGAAAGACTAACAGTGACTAGATTGCCCACACACACCAAAACAAGATGCAGAGAAATCAGGCAACGATAAGCACGGACAGTTTAAGCATGTTTTTACAGCTCTGAGCTACGAGCCTGCTGGTGTGTTTACAACAATCAGGATGAACCATCTTTTCAGATGTTAAAAGCTTTCCCCTTCCTCTTACATAAGGAGTCACCTCAGGTCAGCTTTGCAAAAAACAAGTGGTGTGGCCCCAGAGGGTAACAGCTGGAGGAGCTGATCTTTTTTTAAAATTTGTTTTGCAATGCATCCATATGAATAAATAAAAAAGAAAGTAATTAGAATTATATCCTGTATGCTCAGCTGCCATGTAAAACTCTGCTGGTGACGTGTCTCCAACAGAGGGACCGTAAAAAACAGAGCTGGCACACACGTGACACAAACAAGTGTATATAAGGAAAATCAGTTAAGCCTAATTATTATTAAAATGACCATCCAGTAGAGTCTTACCCATGCAGTTGATGTTGTCGGTGAGTATGTAGCCTTCTTCACACATGCAATGGAAGCTACCTGGGATATTCTGACATATTTGATTACATCCGGCATGAAGTTCAGGATCTGAACACTCATCGACGTCTGCCCAATCGATACGCCGCACAAAAATAACAGCAGCAGGTTCCATAGATTAGGAATGAATGATTGCTGGATGTATTTTGGTAAAAAATTATGAAAAATGTTTAAAATGCCAAAAGACTAAATGAGAACTCACCTTCCTCACAGCGCAGCCCCTTCCAGCCCTGCTTGCACACACATGTGAAGGCAGCCATGCCGTCCTCGCAGTGCTCTGAACCCTCCTTGTAGCATGGAAACGGCGTGCACTGATTACTGATCTCTGGTTTTGGAAACACAGCATTTGACAGCTACAGAGAAGTGTAACAGGAATATAAAAAGCTTAGTTTGAGGTTTAAGCTCACCTTTCACACAGGCACGTAGGTTAGAGGGGATGCCGGCATCTGAGTGCTGGCTATTTATGCCGACACGGTGTGAACCCAGACACGCTGCAGAAAAAAATGAGCGTTTAGTTGAGACAAACAGTTCAAAATAGACCAAATTATTAAGAAATGTGATTCATTTAGCAGACTTACCAACATATTTAGGGTAAAAGTATTCCTGCAAAAAAGAAAAAAGGAAAAAAAAGGCTGTTGATAGTTTGGTATTTACTGATAAGGACAGAAAGGAGAAAATGCAGCTGCATCTTTAGCTTTTACTATTTTACAGCAAGAGCCCAAACAGATGAGACGGAGACATTTAGAGACAAAATCAGAGCAAGAGATAAGGCTGAGATGGTTTGGACATCTGCAGAGAAGGTATGGTGGATATTTTGGCAAAAAAAAAAAATGACTAGGGAGCTGCAGGACAGGATTAAAAACACAGAGAGGATTTATGGATGCAGTGAAGGAGGGTTGATGTGACAGGGGAGGATGCTAGGGATAGGGTGAGATAGAGGTACATGATCCTCTGTGGTGCCCCCTAAAAGGAGCTGAAGATGAAGAAGCAGTAAATACTTCCAGTACAGATCTTTTTTTCCCTACTATAACTGAGCTTTTTCTTTCTATTTTGTACAGTATTTTATTCTATTTTGTTGGTACTTTATTCTATTGTATATAGTATCTCGTTCTTGCTGTATAGTATGTTATTCTATTTTATCTTCTCCTATTCTATTGAGTTTTTCTTAACTTTTACTGCTCTTAAAATTGTACTTTCTGTTGTGACCAAAAAAATTCCCACGTGTGGGACTAATAAAGGTTTATCTTATCTCTTATCTTAAACGACTTGGAGCTCCCTAACCACCGATTACACACCCTCATTACTGTGTTACTAATCACGTTCATTAAAGCTCTGTGCCTCCATAAGTAACACATGCTGGATAACAGCCAAAAATCCAATCCACTGTTATAACTTTTGCTGCTTATTTCATCTTCTTCTTCACTGCCATCTAGTCACTTCAGTTTGACCTGGCTTTCCCTGTCAGCTCTCACCGTCTCCGGTTGGTTCTCAAAGATCTCCCTGGCCTCCTCCTTGTTGCACAGCTCCTCGATGCACTCCCTTTCCAGGTTGCCCTTCTTGCTCTCCTCAAACATTGAGTTGGCCCTCCTGTGCCTGCTCAGGAACTGCGAGGCTGTGCTCTGGCTCAAGACTATGGGAGACACAAACACTTATGTGTACAGCGCATGCATGTAGCACATCTTTTAACTGTCAGCTCTGTTTTGAGTCCAACAAACCTATTGCTGGTTAATATAAACACCTGTAACAACATTACAATAAAAAGAAATGACTGATGCCCGTAGGAATTAAAGCCTCCTCTGTCATGACAGCTCTCCCGAGGCTTCTGCCTAAATGGATGAAGAGGGCAGCTTAATTTCATTTAGATGAATTGGCCCGAAAAGAGGTAGGGAGTGTTATTGCGAAACCGCCATTTCTCAGAAATGACCCCTAGTTGCTGTAACAAGCACTTCACGTTGTTTTCCAAGCATTGTTTCATGGTGAACAACGGAGCCATGTGACCCTCACATATGCTAAAAGTGATTACAAAAAATATTGAAGTCCTGAAACGGTTCCCAGCTGGTCTCATCCAGTCTGTGAACTGCTCTCTTCAAACTGGGACATTCTGACTAAACACTACAATCCAGCTCAACACGTAAAACCGCAAAACCTCAAGCGTACTTACACCGATAAGCATCGACCAGCGTCACCAGTAACACGAGACAAGCCAGGGGTTCCCCAAGAGCCCTCTTCTTTCTCCACATAGTCGAGCCGTTCCTCCTGCTAGGCCACGGTTTGGATGCGAGTAGAGACTGGCTGAGCGGCAGGTCCGTTAGGGAAAAAACTTTATTCTTCCCGAAAGTGTTTTTCGTCGGGTGAGATGGGGGGAGCACAGGCAGCTGCCAGCAGAGCGGGACACGGAGGGGTTATGTGTGTGTGTGTGTGTGTGTGTGGAGCGTGAGGAGAGGGGAGGCAGCTAGGGAACGCTGCACGCACGCTCACGCGCTCTGTGCCGTTATTTTTTCCCCCGAGCGTGCGCGTGCGGCTCGGCTCAGGCTGAACTCATGCAGAAAATAGGTTTACTAAAGGAGGCCCGGGACACACTGTGTAGGTAAATAACCACAATACTCTGTGCTGAACAGGCTGCTCTAGTATCAGGAATAGTTATAATACTTTTAATTATTCTTAAAGTCCAAATTATCATTAATACCCCCCCCCCTCGCGCGCACACACACACAAACGTCACGCCAAAAAAGACGAGAAAAAAGTGGCGCAAATGTCTCGTCGTTGCTAAGCATCCAAGAAAAGATGGCACTGCTAAACTACTATGAATGTTTTTTTACTTATTATTATTATATTATTTCACTAGATTATAATAGATTATAATTTTGTAGATTATAATATGTAGTAGATTTTTTAAAAAGCTGTATATTAGGTTTCACATTGCCACTTACCTCACTTTATAATTTCACGTGTAACATTTAAATTATCTGTTATGGCATCATGTGAAAGATTCCTACTTCGTGTTTAAGGTGGGCCTTTTTTGGAGTGTAATGTGCTCTGAGTGCTAATAATGATAGCAATAACGTCTTTATCAGTGAGATGCTACAAGATTGGCATACTTAGGCAGGGCAATTCTAACAAAACAATATAAATCTGCTAATGTGAGTTTGTACAGTAGACTTTACTGATAAGTAATAAATGACACAGACACCAGATTTGCATTAATAATTGTTTCATTTGGTTACTCGGGGGAAAACACATCACATTTTCACCATTCATTCAATTGTTTTATGTACACAAATAACAGGCTTATTTTAATACTTTTAAAATATTTGTACAAAATACACTGTTCTCCCTTTTATAATATGTGTTTATCTGAAGAAGCATCTGACTGCAAAACATCAGCAGATGTGCATTGTTAATTTGTGATCACTTGACAGGCTTATCGAGGGCTTGTTAGTATTATTGCATGCTGAAACACCGTTATTGCATAATTCATTCCTTTTATGGGTATCGGGGTTGGAGGAGTCATACCCACACCAACTTCGCTGGGAATTCTGGGAAGGTTTGAATGAAAGTTATAATAAATATGAGTTTCATAAACCTGAGGAGAGTTAGTAACCTGTAGGGGGAGGAAAACCTGAAAGAGATTAAACCCAGGCTGCTCTCTTAATATTTTTTTACTGTTCATAAGACATCTGGGGAGAATAGATTGGCAAAATCTTCTTGAAAAGAAACAGTGATTGTATATGAGAGGAAAGAGGGGATACGCTACGTCAGGCCAAGAGTGAAGTAACAGTGTCTTCAGTATAATTACAGGCAGTGATCTGCCTTTCCTGACCTGTAACACTGTTTGATCAATTGGCAACACAACCCATCATGTCAGTCACATGTGTCCACACTGACAAAAACAAGCACACACCCACATAACAGACACACACACATACCTCATCCAGCTCAGATACACAGCAAAATTTCCGTATGACAAGATAGAAAACAGAGTCAAATTGTTGAGTCAAATTGTTGTCCTTATTTGACCCACCCAAAAAACAAAAACATATAATTGGATTAGTTGCTCAGCTGTTTTACAAACAGTACAGTTATTTTTTTTAAAATATATTTATATATATATTTCAAAAACGAACTTTAGAAAAGTGATAACTGGCACTGTTTGGGATCCTGTGACCATGGGGGCGAACACCCGCGAGGCTACATAAGCACATACTTGGATTCGGAAAATACAAAAGTCGTGGTTTGTAGTCGCTTGCAGAGGCTGCTGTCTACACTTCACATGCACTGTCGGAGTGAAAGACAAAAAATGCGTCCGCCTTTGCGAAAGCGTGGGACAACACAACACAGCTGGCTAGCAACAATAAATCCTGTACCTTCAATAGATGGTGAGGCGCTTCACAGCAGGTAGCTTTTCAGTGGAATGCATATAAATAAGAGTTCAAACGACAAGGTATGGAGGGAGTGGGAGGCTAACTCACAGAAACAAAAGAACCACATTATTATTAGGTAACCAGCGGGGCAACACAATCAGTCACACTCTATCCATTTCACAATTACAAACTAAGACAGGTTAAAATGTTAGTTTGTGTAATAATTAGAAGTGTATCTGAAAATAAAACATCCCTGTTAATGATCTCATTTGTGATAGCTGAAGGGGGTAGACTGGCTTTTACTTATTTTCCTGCTTACACAGGAGTGAAACAGGCCTCTGAGTTAATGTCAAGCTGTGGGGCCTTAGCCCAGCGCTGTGTGTCGGGGAAAAGTGTCTTTCCATTTCATCATTAAAGCTGCTTTTCTGACATTAATTATATTTATCCACCATAAATGGACAGTGAGTGATGAAAATTGTAGCTTATGACACAAAACAGTTGCTCTGCTGTAGTTATTAAAGCCAGTTTTGTACTGGACTACACTGTACTCAGCGTTCTCTAATATTCTGTCTCCCTTTCTGTTTGTATCAGTATAACATAGTCCACTACACTGTACAGCTGTACCTGTAAAAGGACTTGTTCTGTCACGTGCACATTTTCTGCATCTAAAGAAACTGGTTTTGAATGATGTAATTTACCCATGATTAAAGCATAACCTGTGCGGGCAAGGGGAGGGGGAAATGCCAACCTGGGTACTGGTTACACTGGAGCATGACGACCAAATGACAGACCAAAGCTTTAAAAACAAAACGTGGAAAACTCTTTTAAAAGGGTTTAAAATGTGGGCTAAAACTGTGTGTGGAGAGATTTTCCGTAGCTTAAATGAAGTCACTTGGACTGTGAATGGGCCCGACGATCCCTTTGTTTGTTTTTTTGTGGCTCTCCCTGAACTTGTATCCCGAAGACGCTGGGAGGAGAAACTTGAAAGTGAAAGGTACACAGGTATAACATGACCCGCAGAGGGGATAAGCTGCAGTCATTCCTTCTCGTCTGGAGCTTCGTCCGTCAGACGGCAAATGAAAGGTAACAATTTCAACAACATTTAAAATAACCGCACACAAATCAAAGAGGTAAAAGTCGCTTTCTGAAAACTGTGCTGTGAGGCTTGTTCGTCCGAAGATTTGGAGGCGATTAAAGTGCGTGCTGGTCACTGTCAGAACTGTCCAGTGAAAACCTTTGTTCTCTCGTCACGTCATGTAAAGGACAAGGTTACCTCTTCACTCATATCCCTCCTTTCCTCCACAAGTGCTCCTCTTTTTTCTCCTCTCTCTCTTCTAAAAGTGAGGTCTGTTTGTCCAAATGTGGAGCGATGCACTTTGAGAAACTGCAGGTAGGTCCATATACGCGGCTCTTGGAGTTTGGCAACGAGTCGTAAAGTTGTCATCTTCTCAAAACAGGATCAGATCGGGGTGAAAGGTTGCTTTGCTTCCACAAGCGTCTTAAGGAAGTTATTTTAGACAAGGGAAATGCTTTAAAACTCAATACCAGACACAGAGCTCAGTTTCGGTGGGTATTTCTGCAGTAGAGAAAAATATGCTGGTTTTGTCCATCACAGAAACCGGATCCAGGGCTGTGGCTAGATAGAGTAGGTGGAGCTCTCAGACTGCTGGCGGATGTAGCACTGGAAACTCTTGTCTCCAATCGGATGCTCCCTGAGGACAAAGAAAAGGGGAAAAAAAATGTGACTGCAGTGTTCTGAACTAGCGCCTCCACTTTGTTAAAGATACAATAAATGCATTCATCTATAACTTAACCTCCTAATACAACACAAGCAGTGCACGTACTGGCTGCCTATCTTTGTCTTCTTGAACTTGTCGCGTTTGTACTTGGTGTGCTGCTGTTCCAGCGTCTGCACGGCTGAAATGATCTGCTTCAGGGTTTTGTAGGTCTCCTGGGGGTCGTCTATGACGAAGGTGGAGTACTCCTCCTGCTCAGGGCCGTCATATACCGACTTACTGCCGCAGGCCTCTGCAGCGGGAAACGGAATGAGAGACCGAAATGTGAAAAAACACAAATGTGGGAAGTTTGAAAAGAAAAGAAAAAAACATGCGCTTGGCATCTAACCTTGCATCTTGATCAGTTTGGTCATGTATGTGCTGAACAGAGAGTAAATCCTCTCGGTCTCTCTGTCACCATCTACATCCAGCTGGATGTTTGCCGGGAGGCCGCTGAAAAAAACGAAGCGTGCATGGAATGAGAGAGAGCGGAAACAAAGCACAGGAATGTGAAGCTGCGCAGATGCTAGCAACTTTATGTACCCGGTGCAGGGCGTACACCCGGGAGCCGTGTCTGCTGAGAGCTTGCAGCACAGCCAGTGGCCGTTGAGGTAGGCTGAGGGGTGGTAGGTGCTCAGGCGTTTGCGGTTGCACTGGCTGACTTTGGTCAGGATGTCGATCCAGTCGCGCGCCTCTACGCAGTTATTGGCCTGGATGTAGAGCGCCCGCTCTGGCTGAATGACCTGGAACATCTGAAGGAGGAGTGTGGGAAGAAAAGAGTGCAAGTTAGGTAAGAAAGTAAACACTTGTAGGAGAGATTTGGGCCCAAAAGCTCAAACCCTCAAATATTTCACAAGGGCTCACAGGGGGTTCCTTACATTTTTCATTTTGAAAGACTCCTCCTCCAGCCGCTCTACAGCCAGAATGTTCTCTATGGGAATGCTGCAAAGAGCTCCCTCACCTGGTGGGAACAGGAACAACATCAGACATGGAACTGTTGAGGTAATAACAAACTGGATTGTTATGACTGTCATTGAGATGCGTGGTATGGTGTAAATACACATTTTATTTGACCTGTTCCGTCCAGCTTCTTTTCTTGTTAGGCTTTCTGCTTTGTGGCAAATTGTCGTGATAAGGAGTTGTAGTATTTTCATATGGACTTTTTTTTTTTAAAGAAAAAAAATTGTTTTACTCATATCGTAAGTTTTTAATCTAACAGTTAAAAGAGACAATTGGCTACCATTTCTAAGATGTTTAATTTGTTACACTTTACACCCATGCAGATTGTTGAGATCAGTTTTAACATCAATTATAAGCTTGTGACTTCTCTTTGTAGGATGATATTTCACCTTTCTTCATTACGTAACCAT